CAAGCCCCCCCAATGAGCGCTCGAAACAAACTACACATCACATCCTTGATCAGCAAACCAGTTTCGGATACGTTGAGGAACAGTTCCTCGACAAGTTGGTCGGAATCCCGCTCTTCCTATCACACTGTCAATAGAAATCGTCTTCACGGTTAAGGCTCTCTCCTTCTTAGGAGGGAGAACCCACGAGTTATTTCGGGTGTTATGGTCAAGTCCCTGTATAGTGATAGAATTTGAGCTTGAATCGAACGACAGGAATCTTGCAGCATAAATCATGAGAGTGGGCTCAGCATTAGCAGATTCATCAAGCTCCTTATATACTATCCAGTGATCGTTCTTCTTGAGGAGGTCCAACGTAATTCCATCAGGCATATCTGCCTTACCTATAATGGCTGTTGCCACTCTGGAGGGAAGGGTAGCAAAGTCCAATGCTACACGTTCATCACATGTGTGATAAGGCAATAGTTGCCTGGCAGAGAACGGCTTATCGAAACCTTCCACATAAAATAGCAGAGCATTATGGGGATGTTGATGGGAGATTCGGTAAGGTCCAGAGACTTTTCTTCTCCCATTGATGAGTCTCGAAACTTTAATGCTGTCACCCGCATTGAATTTAAACCTCAATGGTTCGTCAATCAGAGTCTTGATTTCTTTCCCCAAGGCTGCATCAGCGCGGCTGACCAAGAAGCATTGCATTACTGATGACAGATACTCACAATTCTTCTGACATAGTTCGTCTAGCCCCGAGGAATCGGGGTCACTTGACTCGGTTTCAGGCAATAAGTCCTCTCTTGAATGAGCTAGCATCGCTGGAGTACATCCTAGCCCATCTTTAATAGGAGAAGAATTATGGATAGATATAGCATTGAATGCACATATCCACCAGGGTAAGGTTGCATCAGGAGCACACGTACCAATACGGATAGCTGTTTTAACATCACGGATGAGCCTTTCAATGAGGCCCTGTGATTCAGGTCTTCTCGGTATGCCAAGGACAAGCTCTGCCCCCCATGCCGATGTGAACTGTCGAAGGGCCTCACTGTCGTGTGCCGGGCATGCATCCAACTGGATGTATTTCGCTGGTCCGTAGGTGCTGAACCAGATTAACAAGACTCCAATTACATCACGGGCAGTTGTTGATTTAGTGGGAATGGCTAAACTCATATGTGTACATTCGCAGATAATCAAACACAGGTATTCCGTGTCCCATGGGGTTTTGTCATTCTGATTGGTAAGGCTGAAAGGCCCAGCAAAATCCAATTGGATTTTCTGAAACCGCTTCTGCCATCTCCGGTAAACAATCGGGGCGCGGTTGATCATGTCGTGGTGTTTGT